GTGGTGGTGAAGAAGCCCTCAGTGGTGCTCCTGAAATATGTTGCTGCTATACACCAGGAGTGCCCAAGACTCCAGCCCATCTACTAAAATCGCTTTGGAAGTTACCGCACAAAACACACACTCCGGCCCATGCTGGGCCTCATGTTCCACATAAGCCACTCATCGCACGTGTTTATCTCACTCTATCAACTCATTTGTTTAGTCCCTTCTTCCTCAAATGTGTCTCAATCCTCCCTTAAATGCCATCAGTGCTATTCATCTTAATAACTCCTTGAAGCACAAGATCTACTCAGTGATAGTCTCCAGGTAAAGATGTTGCTCAAATTCCCAGTTGTGGATTTTTTATTTGCCTTGGTTCACCACATGGTCCATATAGGAGCCATGGCAAATCTAAACATTTTATTAAAGGTCGGATGGAGAATGAGGGCTGAGGACAAAAATCTCACCTTCTCCTCTTTTGCAGGCTAATAGTCCCAGAGTCAAACATTCCTCTGTTTCTGGCTACTTGCAGTCTCATCACCCAACGTGTGAATAACCCAAAACTAAAGCCATCTAGGCCCTTCATTTTCAAATCTCCTTCCATGAACCTATTTGCTTCTCTCACCTCCTTTAAAATGCTTCGTAAAAGCCAGCTCTGCAACCAAACTCTCAGTCTCGCCTGTCCAACATCTCCTTCTTTGGAGTGATACCAGTTCCTTTGACCTGGTAACGCTCCTGTGAAATAGCTTGGGCCATTTTATTCTGCATTAAGCATGCTATATAAATGCAAATTGCTATAATTAAGCATCCTTAGGAAGGCAGGTTACTGCTGCCTACTGCTGTACGTGGGGTATCAAGGATAAATTAGTTGGTGGTGTACACAGGGACTGTGTTGGATCGTTGCAACTTAAGCCACTAAACATCTGAATGTAGACGCCGTCTAAAAGTCAATGAGGAAAACAGGATTCCTTAAAACTTAATGACTTCATTAAATAATCTTTAAATCCTAGTTAAATTGAGGAGTTACTGGGAATACATTCCCCAGCTGAGAGATTTAATGGATACAATTTCTTTCAT